ACGCTCCTGGTAGTCATAATTTATCCTGCTGAAGTAGGAAAGATTACGACGGAAATACTGGTAGTAATAGCCAGTGAGTGCATTTGTATTCGTAGCGGTGTTGTTGCCGGTAGCAGCTGTGAAATCAGCAAATTCCCATGAGTTGAAGGGCACATCCTGCCTGCTCGCGCCGGCGGCATTACCTGATGTTTTTGCCAGTGAAAAACCAGCTACCGTTTCGAAATGATGATCGTTAGCTACTTTGAAGTTGTAGTTAGCAAACGTTTCCCAGGTATAGTTGAAGTTGCTGTTCTTGTCGTGTGATACGCTGTTGTGTTTTCCAGCCACAGCAGAGCCATCAGCATTCATTGAATTTTCAACGTTGTTCGTTCCATAAAATACCAACGGCGAGAAGCTGCGGGAATTATTATCGTACTTCGTATAGCCAAAGCGGGAAGTCACTTTAAGATCTTTCAGTACATCATACTGCAACTCGAACTTTCCATAAAGTTTTGTACCTACATTTTTATTGTATGTGTTTTCAAGCTTGGTAAGCGGGTTGAATATTTCAGACAACAACAGGTTACTGAAACCATACTGACCCGGTGTACCTGCTACAGTGTTGTAAACTGGAACAGTCGGGTCAAAGTTTAAAGCGCTTCCGATAATGCTGTTAAATGAGTTTTCCTGTACACCTCGTCCATTCAGCATTACACCCGTAGTATTCAAAATGAATTTTAAACGGGAGGTAAGATCAAAGTTCAGGTTGGCGGTGAATGTACCACGATTGTACCTCGATTTGTCATATCCACCCACAATACCACTCTGGCTGAGATAGCCGGCAGAAAGGAAGTAAGACATGCGATCGCTTCCGCCACGGGCTGAAATACTGTGTGACTGGAGTGGTGCCTTTTCAAAAATCTCTTTTTGCCAATCTGTACCAACACCCAGTTTCGATATATCGGGGAATATGACATTACCACCGGCAACCGTGCTTCCTTCATTAATAATGGCTGCGTATTCGGTAGCATTCAATACCCCAATGGTATTCATTACTTCCTGTATACCGTAGTTGCTGTTGACACTAATTTCTGGGCGCTGGTTCTTACGTCCGGACTTGGTTGTAACGACGATCACGCCATTACCACCTTTCACTCCATATATAGCTGTCGTTGCCGCGTCTTTCAATACATTGATTGATTCTATATCTGCTGCACTGATGGAATTGAAATCGGTCAGTGTTTGGGGAACCCCATCAATGATCACCACGGGGTCAGTGCCGGAGAAAGAGGGGATACCCCTAATCAGTACGGTCGGCTTGGAGCCGGGAGAACCGCTTTGGATCACGTTCACCCCTGAAGCCCTTCCCTGCAAAGCTTCTTCTGCCCTTACCGGTTTAAGCTTTTCAATATCCGCGCTCTTAATGGTAGAGATGGCGCCGGAAACTTTGGTCACACGCTGTGTACCATATCCCACCACAACCACATCGGTCAGGGTGG